ACCTCACTTTACGCGAAGCCTATTGTACTGACTGGATAAATAATTGAATAAAAAAGGTTGTCGGCCACAGTCATTGGCGAGGTCGGGGCAATGAAATGTATTCTGAAACGTACATAACATATTTCACAACACATCTTTTTATAATAGGAGTGGAGCCGTATCATCAAGAAAAAGAGGTTTATCACTCCCTTCTCCAAGAACGTCCTTCGCTCTATCCCTCCCCTTTCCTTCCAGGATGCTTCTACATCTCCCCCAGTATCCCTCATCCCATTTCTACCTCTCCCCCCTCCCAGTATCCTTCATCCCACTTCTACCTCCCCCTCTCCCAGTATCCCTCATCCCACTTCTACCTCCCCCCTCTCCCAGTATCCATCATCCCACTTCTACCTCCTCCCTCTCCCAGTCAGCTACTTTTGCCATTCTAAATCCAGGCACCCCAGTCTCCATCACCATTCCAGACATTCCAATCACTACTTACCCGGTACCTTCTCTTCTTCCTCCTCGCCCAACTCATCGCACACCTAATCTGTTCCCACCCCATTCTCTCCTCCATCAACCTCTCCCTCCACCCCTCAAACATATGTCCCCTCTTCTCCCCCACATAAGAAAGCCTTTTCTTCTAAGACCTCCCCAACCAACTCCGCTTCAGGAAAACATTCAAAACTATCTAATTATGACCCAATATGACATGCCTACACCTCATCCATTCTCCAGCCTCTCTGCTCTCATTGTCTCTACACAAAGTAACTGCCGACATCCATCCTCCTATTCATGTTCCCCCTATACCCCTTCCTCACACTCCCTCCCAACACAACTCATTCTCCCCAACTTCATCTGCACCTTCCTTCTCCATTTTCCCTTCCGCTTCCCTTTGAATATACACGTGACTTTTTCACAACAATCCGTTCTCCTCTACATTCTCTATTTCTTGACATTTCATCTGAAACCCCTTTCTCCTTTTGCTAATCCCTGCCAGACCCTACAGACATCCTTGGAGAATTCAACAATTTTTTCATTGACAACTTCAATCTAGTCACCCTTGTTACTCCCTACCTTAGCCCATTTACTCACTCCTCTCTGCCCCTTTGTCCCTGCTATACGACTTTTTGTGGTATATGACCTTTGATATCTAGAACATTTATTTTGCTTCGAAAACAATAATAATTTTTCTCGCCCTCCACTGGGGGTGGGTCTTAAGAAACGGGGACTAAGGCCCAATGCTAGGGATCAATCCCTACCTTGAGCCTCAACCCTCGACAACTAATTTTACTCATTCTCTCTCTCTCTCTCTCTCTCTCTCTCTCTCTCTCTCTCTCTCTCTCTCTCTCTCTCTCTCTCTCTCTCTCTCTCTCTCCCTCCCTCCCTTCTCTCCCCTCCCCTCTCTCTCTGTCTCTCTCTCTCTCTCTCTCTGTCTGTCTGTCTGTCTGTCTGCCTCTCCCTCTCTCTCTCTCTGTCTCTGTCTCTCTCTCTCTCTCTCTCTCTCTCTCTCTCTCTCTCTCTCTCTCGTCTCTGTCTCTCTCTGTCTGTCTCTGTCTTCTCTCTCTCTCTCTCTCTCCTCTCTCTCTCTCTCTCTCCTCTCTCTCTCTCTCTCTCTCTCTCTCTCTCTCTCTCTCTCTCTCTCTCTCTCTCTCTCTCTCTCCTCCTCTCCCTCACACTTTCTCTCCTCTCTCTCTCTCTCTCTCTCTCTCTCTCTCTCCTCTCTCTCTCTCTCCTCTCTCTCTCTCTCTCTCCTCTCTCTCTCTCTCTCTCTCTCTCTCTCTCTCTCTCTCTCTCTCTCTCTCTCTCTCTCTCTCTCTCTCTCTCTCTCTCTCTCTCTCTCTCTCTCTCTCTCTCTCTCTCTCTCTCCCCCCCCCTCCTCTCTCTCTCTCTCTCCTCTCCTCTCTCTCTCTGTCTCTCTCTCCCTCTATCTCTCTTCCCTCTCCCCCTCTCTCTCTCTCTCTCTCTCTCTTCTCTCTCTCTCTCTCTCTCTCTCTCTCTCTCTCTCTCTCTCTCTCTCTCTCTCTCTCTCTCTCTCTCTCTCTCTCTCTCTCTCTCTCCCTCCCTCTCTCTCTCTTCCCTCTCTCTCTCCCCCCTCTCTCTCTCTCTCTCTCTCTCTCTCTCTCTCTCTCTCTTCTCTCTCTCTCTCTCTTCTCTCTCTCTCTCTCTCTCTCTCAAGTAACTATTCTCACGGAAGTTATTAATATCAGCATCGATGCGCTGGCTCCCTACGTAACACGAATCGTCAGACGTTCCCCTGCTCCATGGATAAATGACGACATCAAGAGAGCCATTTGCGATAGAAATGAAGCCCACCAAGCTCTTAAAAGTAACAGACATGAAGCTGCCTTTCAAGTAGATTATAAAGTAAAAGAGAAAAATGTCAAAATGTTAATTCAATCTGCTAAAAGAAATTATTTCAGAAATAAATTTACCGAGTATAAGAAAACTCTGATAAGACATGGAAAATTGTTAAAACACTAGTGCCTCAAAACAAATAGCTCACTAGTGATTGTGCAGGTCCTACATAAAACACAGAACATTTTAATGACTTTTCAAAAATTGGAAAACTAACTTATGAACAAACAACTGCTTCTACATTACAACGAAACACAGATAGGGCAATGTTTACAACTAATTTTTTCAGACCACAACCAGTGGACGTAGAAACAATAATCTTAGTAATAAAACACCTTCGCGAAACAAATGCTGTAGGAGCAGACGGTATTGCTTTGTACTTTATCAGAGATAGTCTACCCGCAATTGCACACTATTTGGCGGTCATTATTAACACCTCTCTGGTCACTGGTGTCTTTCCGTCGCTTTGGAAACATGGTATAGTAACACCGATTTTCAAGTCGGGGGATATAGACGATGTGAATAATTATCGTCCTATCACTAAACTCCCTATATTATCTAAAGTTCTTGAAAAAAATGTAGCAAATCAATTAACGAGTTTCCTGGACGCCAATAACTTATTATCTAAAACGCAACATCGTTTCAGAAATAAGTTATATACTGAAACACTTTACTACAAATTACTGATATCTATAATAACAGACAATAATCAGGTAAATTTGCTCACATTATGCGACCTTTCTAAGGCTTTTGATAGTGTTAACCATGAAATTCTCCTCAACAAATTAGTAATTCATAAAATTGATACCTTTTGGTTTAAAAGTTATTTAGATGCAAGGACCCAATCGGTAAGAATCAATGATTGTATGTCATCAAAACAAGAAGTACCTTTTGGTGTTCCAGAAGGATCCATTTTAGGTCCGATCCTATTCACAATTTTCATAAATGATTTATCAACAATAGCTCATAAATGCCTTCTGGTACAGTACGCCGATGATTCAAAGTTTCTTCATAGTGACTCTGTAAACAACTTGGATACATTAATAAGAAACACTCCACATACCCTTACACAAGCAAAATTATATTTTGACACTAATGGCCTTAAACTAAAGCCACATAAAACTCAATGTATATTTATAGGTAGCCGGCAGAATATAGCTAAAATTCCCAATGACACGACTTTGAAGGCTGCTCTATGAAGCCGAACACTTCAGTGAATAATCTGGGAGTACACTTAGACAAATTCATGACATTTGAACAACACGTTGACAAGATACACAGGAAAGTAATGGTCACCCTAGTATATCTTAATCACATAAAAAATCAAATCACTACTGAAACTAGAATCATGGTTGTGCAAACTCTAGTTCTAAGCATTATTAACTACTGTTCAAATATTTGGGGTTCGACTAACAAAACCCAAATGCAAAAAGTACAAAAAATACAAAACTTTGCTGCAAGAGCTGCATTAGGTAATATCAGTAAAATTGATCACATTAGCCCGGATATCCAAAAAATAAAATGGTTAAAAGTCCAACCTAAATGCAGTTATGACACATGTGTATTCATCTACAAGCTCATTCATGGGAATTATCCGCAATGGTTAATGCCCTTGCAAACTGTAGGGACCACATCAGGTGTCGTGAGACGCAAAGTAAACTCTCTTTATGTTAAGAGATCGAGGACTGATACAGGGGCACGGCAAATGG